TTATTATGCTGGGACTCTAACACAGGGCCTTGTGTTAGATCTTTTGGCAAAAGATCTACCCCAGAGCCATACCATCATTCCCTAAAAGGAGTTTGGGTTTTGTTTTTTTTGTTGTTGTTGTTCTTGTTTGTTTGTTTGAGATAGGGCCTCCCTGTAGCCCCAGCTGTCCTGGAACTGCTACATAGACCAGGCTGGCCTGGATCTCACAGAGATCTACCTGCCTCTGCCTCCCGAGTGCTGGGATTAAGGGCTTGTGCCACCACGCCTGGCTTCTAAAAGGCGTTTTCAATTTTATTGTTTGGATCCTTCAGAGCACATCTTTTTGATATTTGATGCCAGGTAGGGGAGCAAACACAGAACTCTTCTGTTGAAGAGAGCAAGGGGTCACCTGAAGAAAAGCCTTTGTCAGAGTGTTTGGGCAACTACCCCTCCTTTACCTGGAACAGCGACCAGTAAAACACTTTGTTGTACAATGAACAATGTAAGCCCATGACTTCCAGGTAAACAACTGATAGCATTTGCTACCCATGACTAAAAGTGTTCAGTATTTAGAATATTAGTGTTTAGAAAAATTAATATTGTATAAGGCAAGTGAAATATGTTAACATGACCAATGCACTTGGCTACTAAAATATGCCAGGCCAAGAGAGAGTGAGGCCCTGTCTCAGAGCTCTATGCAACACATATGAAGAGGGTTTCCTGTGCTTTGAGTTTCCATGTGGAAACTAAAGCTCAGCAACTCACAGTCACGTGTAGTTGTTCTAGTCCTCAGCTCCAATAAGGGACCACACATCAGTCAGCATCAACCCAGGGACCTGCAGAGGAATGAGTCATAGAGTCCTGTGCCCAGCCAGGGAGCTGCTCAGGTTTTACAAAGTGTATTCTTTTCCCATTTTTAAAAAAAATTTATTTATTTTTAAGCCGGGCATGGTGGTGCATGTCTTTCATCCCAGCACTTGGGAGGCAGAGGCAGGCAGATTTCTGTGAGTTCAAAGCCAGCCTGGTCTACATAGTGAGTTCCAGGCCAGCTGGGGCTACAGGGAGACCCTGTCTCAAACTCCCCCAAAAAATTTATTTATTTTTATTTATGTATATGTGTGTGTACCTGTTTGTATTTGCACCTCATGTGTGCAGGTGCCCATGGTGACCAGAAGAGACCATCAGATCCTCTCCAATTAAATGTACAGGTGGTTGAGTCATCTGATGTGTATGCTAGGAACCAAACCTAGATCCTGTGTAAGTGCAGCAAGTGCTCTTAGCTGCTAAGACATCTCTCCAAATTCATCTTTTCTATTAGTATATATTAACTGTCATGAAGTAGATTTGAGGTTTCTCCATGGAAATTGCCCAAATTGCAGATCTGTGAGCAAAGCAAACATTGTTCTCTGAAGCCACTGAGTTTGGGGACCATTTGTTACACAGGGCTACATGAAGCCCTGCCTCAGAAGATAGGAAGAGGGAGGGAAGGAAGGAAGAAGGAGGGAAGAAGGAAGGAAGGAGGGAAGAAGGAAGGAAGGAGGGAAGGGAGGAAGGAAAGAAGGGAGTTTGATTTTTCCCTATGAGATAGAGATAAAATAGAGAAATTCCTCAGCCACCCCAGAAGAATATTAGCAAAATAAATGAGATCATGGGGTGATATAATCTAGGTAAGAACATCAACCCTCTTTGTATTTCTTCACTGTCAAAAATGGCATTTCAGCCAGGCATGGTGGCACACACCTTTAAAACCAGCACTTGGGAGGCAGATCTTTGTGAATTTGAGGCCAGCCTGGTCTACATGGTGAGTTCCAGGACAGCTGGAACTACAGGGAGACCCTGTCTCAAAAAGACAAAAAAAAAAGGCATTTCTTTTTTAAAAATTTTTTTATACGTATGTTTGTATGTATGTATGTCTACATGCATGTGTGCACATGGGTATGTGCCCACGGAGGCCCGAGAAGGGCATTTGGTCCCTTGGAGCTGGAGTAACAGAAGGTCATGAGCCACCTAATGTAGGTGCTAGGAACTGAACTCGGGTTCTCTGCCAGAGCAGCAAGTGCTTTTCACCATGGAGCTACTCTCCAGCCCGTGAGTTCTATTGCACGTGTGTGTGTGTGTGTGTGTGTGTGTGTGTGTGTGTGTGTATTGCATAGAAATTTCCTCCAAGATAAAACCTTCTGTCTTGGAAGGAAACTCATTAAGACAAGATGTTCTTAAGGGAGGGAAACATTTCATCATGAAGGGCAGCTCTTAAGCTTAAGAAATAAGTAACTCGGGGCTGGAGAGATGGCTCAGCAGTTAAGAACACTGGTTGTTCTTGCAGAAGACCCAGGTTCGAATCCCAGCACCCACATGGCAGCTAACAACTGTCCATAACTCCAGTTCCAGGGGATCCAACAGCCTCTTCTGTCCTCCGCGGGCACGACATGGGTGCACTCACCTACATGCAGGCAATACACACATACACATAAAAATAATAAATAAAATATTTTAAAAAAGAAATCAGTAACGCAAAAAAAAAGAAAGAAAGAAAAAGAAAGAAGGAACATGGGGCTGGAGACATGGCTCAGTGTTTAAGAACACTGACTGTTCTTGCAGAAGACCTGGGTTCGAATCCCAGCACCCACATGGCAGCTAACAACTGTCCGTAACTCCAGTCCCAGAGGATCCAACAGCCTCTTCTGATCTCCTCGGGCATTGTATGACACGGGTGTACTTACCTACATGCAGGCAATATACTCATACACATAAAATAAAAATAATTTTTTTTTAAAAAAAAGAAAGAAGCAACTCAAAGGTTTCAGGATGTCCATGAAACTGACCAGATTCACTAGGTCCCTCCCTCCCCTAGAGTGTCTAAGCAGTAAGAACTCTGTCAGACCAGCTGAGCTGCCTGGAAGAGACACTGTCCAGACTGTTTACCTGAAAGTCATGCGGTGACCTCCAGGGTTTCAGCTTTCCTGAGCTGTGTCACCCATGCTGGGGTGGCTTTTGGTGATGCAGCTGTCTTTGAGTCATTTCTGCTCCTGTAAGTAACCCCTCAACCATACTCCTGCAAGTAACCTCAATAAAACTCATTGGTTCACCAAATTGGATTTTGGTGGTGTCTTTACTTCCGCCTGTCCTTGGTTCCCTTGGTGAGTAGATGTTTATTCAGGTCTCCCCAGGAATAGTGTCACAAAGCAGTGTATGCTCATATGTGTGAGTGTGGGTGCATGTGCAGGGGTCAGAGGACATTCTCCACGTGGGTCATCACCTTGCATCTTGAGACAGGGTCTCTTTTTTTTCTGTCAGCTGCTGTGTATGCCAGGCTCACAGGCACTCCGGCTTCTATGCTGTGGGTTTCTCATCTCAGCGTGGGAGTGGTGGTGCTGGGGACCCAAATTCAGGTCCTTATGCTTTTCAAGTGCTTTGCCCACTGAGACATCTCCCCAGCTCGTTTGGGTTCTCTGTGGGGTGCCCGCCTAGACACTAGGGAGAAGGCTCTGAGGAGTAGATCTTCTCTACTGGGGTGTGGCTGTGGCCTCCTGGAACAGCCACTACTGGTATGGTCAGGGCTATTCTCAGAGGCTGGCTGCTGCCTGGTGAACATTTGCTGGCATACCTTACAAGCGCCCTATCTCTACTTCTACTTCAGCGGCAGGGGACGTTGGGGCTACCTGGTGGACACCCACTCACCTGTTATGTGCCTTTTAAGTGATTACTTGCATCATGCACGTGCATTATGTAAAAGTCCGTCGTGCCCCCCCGCCCCCGATTGTGCCTACTCATGGTAAGCATTGGGGTTCTGTCACTGAGCCACGCTCCCTCCAATTTATTTATTTATTTATTTATTTATTTATTTATTTATTTATTTATTTATTTATTTATTGTTTTTTTTGAAACACTCTCTCCCTGTAG